TTAAGGATTAAGGTTAGGGATTAGGGTTTAATCCCTGTGCACTGGCCTAAGTGTTTATGTTGCTGCTTTAAGTCGGCTACGAACTAACAGGTCTTGCAAACTTTTGTTTTTACGGTAGGCTGTAACTAGTTTAGATTTGAATACTTCTGGTAACTTTGTTCTTAAGTCTACGTAATGTTTTCTTACCTTGTGGCTCGCTGTTTGGGCTGTCCTATTGTAGGTAATGACAAAGGGGAGAATTTGGTTCGAAATGGCTTTTTCATTAATACCGTTAGGTTTTAGGGTTTGAAGTTTATTCATCCAAAATTGTTCCCTATCGTCTAGTTGGTCCGAATTGGGAACTCTCTCAATTGGAATTATGGAAACATCTTTTAGAGTGTGGTTAATTTGGTTAAAATGGTTTGAAACTGGTTTGTCTTTGGCGTGTATTATGTCAAAGCGATGGCATGTGAATCTCTCTCTAAGAGTTAGTGTGGTTTGTCCTACATATTGCATCCTACAATTGGTACAAGTTATCAGATAAATGACATTTCTGGATCCGCAATTCAGGTTTTTCGAAATATAATGAGCACTGGGGTTATTAGAGCTGACAAAAAATGTGGTTGTTTTGGTAAATGGACAAGTCGCACAGCGTTTACTGAGACAAGGTTTGGTCGTGTGTTTTATAGGCGGGTTGATTTCTGCCAAGGTCTCTCCTTTGATTTTACGAAGAAATCTGTAAGAATAATTTCTATTCCTAAGAGCTTTGAACAAGATGTGGACTGCTATACTGAAATCCGATTCTTGCGTACAAATGCGATGAAAACGCAGTATTTGCGATGTTATGATTCCCTTGAATGAATGTTTGGGATGAAAAGATTTTTTGTGTAGTAGTTGGTGAGTGTCCGTAGGTTTGAAATACACTTTGATGTCGAGTTTGCCTGTGGTGTTTAACTCCGGACCTTTGAAAATTGTGGTGTCGAGAATCACTAATCGTGGCTTTGAGTTTAATACACGGATGGTGGTTATTTAAAATGTTGAAAAAATCATCAAATTTTTCCCTGGTGTGAGTCCAAATGATAAAGATATCGTCCAGAAATCTGACATAGATTAGCGGTTTGTTGTCGCATTTATTTAAGGCTTCTTTTTCGAATTGGGCCATAAAAATGTTGGCATAACTTGGGGCAAATTTTTTACCCATTGCTGTTCCTGAGACCACTGTCCGTTGACTTCAAAATCATTTTTAGTTAGTCCTGATTTGAGTAGTTCTAGAATTTCTAAATCTGGTCTGTCCGGGCATGGATTATCTAAGAATGTTTGCGAATAAGGAGACTATTTTGAGGGATAACCAAATTGCTTATTTTGTTGATTTCAAAAGTATTTCTGATATACGCTGGGTGTTTCATTGAGAGCGGAGCTAAGAAATGGTCAATGTATTCTGAAATTCTGTATGATTCACTCTCTACATCAGATATGATAGGCCTACCTGAGGGGATTGAGAATGGTTTGGACCACGTTTCAGGTGGTTTATGGAGTTTTGGTAGGATATAGACATGTCTGGGTTTAGGATCAT